GAGAGAGAGAGAGACAGAGAGAGAGAAGGGTGGTGGGTGGATGCAAAAATAACCGCTTCCCCCTCCAATGAAAATTTAGTAAGCAGCAACCTGTCCCTAACAGCCGCCAAGGCTTACTTCCAAAGCGGACACTACTACTACTCCAAATACGAATCAAAACGTAACCCAAACTCCAAACTAAACACTTTACAGAAGAAACAAGTGCTTATTCCAGCCCACATTAAAAAATCAGCTTAATTTAGAATTTCAAATTCAAATTTAAAATTAGATTTATTTTGGGATCTGCTTCTGAATCCCAATCCAAATACGAAACCAAATACAGCAGGCTATGACACAAACCATAACCCAACAGACTGACTAGAGACCCCACCCCTTCTCTTACCGACACCTAACAATCTAAATTCCTAGTCCTAATCCAAGCCTAAAAGGTCCTGAACATAGAAAACCACAGCCAGCCCCCAACCCTGACCGCAAACCATAACTTTAACTGAACAGGTCCTTATACTAACCTTTACCCAACAGGCCCTTGCCCCTATACCCGTACAGGCTGCCAATTGAATTCAAGCGATTGAGGTAGGATTTGTCAGAATTTCCACCATGGAGGGAAAAGGCTTACTTTTTGGAACAACACGACAGAGACTCAATTCGCAACATTGAAAAACACACACGTTTGAAATTGGAGGTCATGGTCGAATTCAGATAAATTTGGTCGAATTATGCCAGAATGGTAGCATTTGTCCCATCTTCAAAGGAAAACCTGGCTGACCCTGACTCAATTAAATGAATCGGATTAGCAGTGTGTACTGGGCCTTTCGGCACATTATATTTTACAAGAGCCGGGAACAAACAAACAAACAAACAAACAAACAAACAACAAACAACAACCCCTAAACCAAAACAACCAGGCCCATTTTTAAACTTAAACCCAAACCTCAACTCAACAAGCCCTAATCCTAACCCTCAGTCATCTGGCTCAGACTCTGCCCTCACGCACATCCCAGCAGACCCTGCCCACACTTACCTTGTGGTACTTGCACTGTCTTGGTGGGCGTGCGGCGTCCTGAGCTCGATCTCAGCTGATCGTCGTCCACTGCGGACACAGACACACAAAATACACACATGAAATCCCACAATCGTCATTGAATGCATCAACAATAAAGACAAACACCCCCCCAAAAAAACCCAACAACAACAACCAAACAAAACAACCCAGCACACCCCAACAAACATAACAAAAAAACCAAACCAACAAACCCCAAAACACACGTTGAAAAACACTCAAAATGCAAACATAATTTCATTCAATATTCATTGAATGCATGAAATCTACATAGAAAAAACACAAAACACTTCGAAAAGCACACTGAGGACACAAACATACAAAATATAAAAATAAAATAAAACAATCGTCTTTCAATGCATGAATATTATTTTAGAAAAGACACAAAACATACTTTGTTTATTAAGTGAACGTTCTACGTCACTAAGCAACACAATTAGGTCATGTAAGTGCCAAACAAAACACACTTTGAAAAGCACACCAAGGCCACAAACATACAAACGTAATTACACACACGGTATAACACAATCGTCATTGAATGCATCGACACTAGTCTCCTAATAGAAAGAAAGAGATACAAAGCACACTTTGAAAAGCACGCAGTTTCATAGACATACTTTTGGACATTTTAAACTTCTGGTTAATTAAACGTGTAAAGGAAAAACAGAATTAAGAATGACACTAAGCAGAAACCACGGATTTATCAAGTTCTCTCCTGTCCAGGAGGTTGTCGGATGATGGATGGGCAAGTTCTTTTACTTCTTTGTTATTACTGTTGTTGTTGTGGAAGTTGTTTTTCCATAGTTTCTGTTTTTGCGAGAACAATTTTATTTTGGTTGTTGTTGTGCTCTTATTGGAAGTGCTGTTCTTTTTAAGTTAGCATATAT